CTTGCGGATGCGGCCGTCAGCGCTGCCGTACGGGCAGGCGCCCCGCGCCGGACCGTCGCAGCCGCCGGGGCTGCCGTGGCCACTGCGGTCATGGCGGCCTGGCGTGGCGACGGCGGAGCGCCGGCGCGAGCCCCCGAGCAGGCCGCTGCCGCCGCGGCCTCGCGGAGGCAGCGGAAGCGGCGGAAGAAGAAGGGCTCAGTGCAGCAGGGCCGGAGGGAGGAGCAACCGGAGCTGACGGATCGAGACCTCGGGGGAGGCCTGGAGTTGCCAGACCTGATGAAGCGCAAGCGGGACGAGGACGAGGAGGAGACGAAGCGCATGCAGGACGAGCACAATGACATGACGGAGGCGGGGGCCGTGACGGTGACCCCCGAGGACGTCCGCATCAAGCACGAGGACATGCTGAACCGGGCGCTCGTGAGAGCCCAGCGACCAGCACAAAAGAGGGAGCAACCCTCAGCGAGGCAACGGTTTCGAGCCCTGCCAGAATGGATGCTTACACCCGGGAAGGACCTTTTGGTGGGATCCGACCTGTGGTGGAACCGCGACAAGGGCGAGTGGGAGTTCCACATGGGAGTGCATAGGAACAGCCGCTTGCTGGCGGGCCAGCATCTGAAGGCGTACAAGCACGCCTACGAGGAGATCACAGGTCACAAATTGACGGTACCTGACGTACCAGGCGGAGACGACAGCGAGGAGGCGTGGCGCCCCGCCGCCGCGGGGCAGCTGGCATGACACCGATCTCATAAACGGAACTCGTGTTTACGAAATTCAATACGTATTTCAAGTTGTTTGGTTTTCTGGGGAGCTTCGACACCAGGGCGTGGCAAAGGACGTGGCGAAGCAGGAGGACGAGAACCCGGAGGTGGGCGACTCTGGAAGGGGGTTACGACCCCTGCAGGTTCGGCTTGCCGCACCCACTATGTCGTGCTGTTGGTGCTCTTCGTGATCAGCGGCCGCGGCATGTACAACGTGTTTTGCTCAGCATCAACATCGTCGTCGTCATTTGCATCAGTAACAGCATCATCATCAGCATCGTCAGCATCCTCCTCATCATCATAATCCTCATCAGCAGCAGCATCATCATCGTCACAAACATCATCAGCATCGTCATCAGCATGATCAGCAGCATCGTCACCATCATCACTAGCATCCTCGCATCAGCATCATCATCGCCAGCACAATCGTCATCATCGTCACCATCATCATCAGCATCATGATCATCATCAGTATCAGTAGCATCGCCATCGTCGTAGTAATCGTCATCATCATCAGCATCAGCATCCTCATCATCGTCGTCATCATCACCATCGTTGGCATCATAATTGTCATCATTGTCATCAGCGTCATCATCAACCTCAACATTAAAATGATCATCCCCATGATCAGTATGATCATCAGCCGCAACAGCATCAACATCGACACCATGACCATCATCAACGATATCAACATACCAGCATCGTCAACATCACCAGCATGATCGTCATGTCCATCAGTGTCACCATAATCGTTATCATCATCAACGTCATCATTGCCATCGAGATCATCATCAGCGGCGTCGGTAACATCATCAGAATCGGCGTGGGCAGCATCGTCTGCAGCATCATCATCAGACTCAAATCGTCGTTATCGTCACAACCGCAATCGTGGTCAACACCACCATCAGCATCGTCATCATCATCACCAACATCATCACCGACATCATCATCACCGTCGCCGTCAGCGGTATCGTCCTAGTTAGCGTCACCGGCACCACCATCATCGTCAGTATCATCGTTCTCATCCTCACCATCAACACCGCTATCATCATCACCGCCACCACTAACATCTTCATCAGCAACAGTAACAGCATCATTATCAACTCCATCAACATCGTCAGATATCACCGTCCCCACCATCCTAATCAGCATGACCATCATCACCATCATCATCATCAGCATCGTCATCATCGTCATCGTGAGTCATCGTCATATTCATACTCATCATCAGCATCACCATCATCATTAGCATTCGCATCTTCTCCACCGTCATCATGATAAGCAGCAGCAGTACCATTACCATCATCATCACCAGTATCATCATCGTCGCCATTCTCTCCACCATCCTTCGAATCTGGCCATCCTCATCACTTCTTCTGGAGACACGAGGTACCGCACGCGACGGCCAGAACGCTGGGCTGCGGCGGTGGCGGGACTTGCCGCAGGAATCTGGACATATTTGAAGAGGCCTTCACGAGGCCCTCAGACAATCACAAGACGTTCCCGAGTAAACCTTTGACAAAAAACAAACATATGGTTGTTGCGTTGAGTTATCCAGATTGTTTGATTTACATTGTCCAAGTCGGCTCCGCGGTCTTCGAAAGCCCAAAAAAGGCCACTGACAGTCCGACGAGCGATCGTGAGCAGCGCAGGGCGGCCCCAAGGGAGCCCCAGGCTGGCCCATCAGGGCCTCGAAAAGACCCAAGACGGCCTCAGACGGCCCAGAGACGGCCAAAGACGGACCCAAGAGACCTCCCAGACGGCCAAGTGAGCCCCGACATGGGCAAAATGACTCTACGAGGGCCCCATGACGGTCCAAATGAGCCCAAAGGACCCCCAAGACTGCCCCACAGGAGACCCGGACAGCCCCAAGACGGCGCATACAAGCTCCATGAGGGCTCCTCCAGAAGTGGACGCGAAAGGCATCGCATTTCACGCCCTTCTGTGCTCGAAGCTCCGCCTTCCAGAGCGCTGGGCTTGCACCGCGGCGTGACTCGCGGAGGGCACCCAGACACGACATCCGACATTTGTGCATCAAGGGGTCGGGGGGCTGGGGCCCTGGCACCTCCACGCCAGAGGGCACTCGTTCCCCTCCCCTCCCCCGCGACTCCCCTCCTTGAGCAGGGACCCGCCGCCCCGGTATTCTTATAGTCCTACCACGACATGTTCTCAGAAGCCCAAAATGTTCTGAGAACAAAAACAATGTTCTTCGAACATAAACCCGAAGTGTTAAAACAAGACAGACTCAGCCAGATACGTTCTAAGAACATTTCGTGCAGACCACAAAAAGGCTCTTCGAACATTGTTTGGTAGGCCTACAAGCGAGCCAGGACGCTTCGCTACTGCTTGACCTCCCTCTCCCCCCCTCCCTGGCCATGGCAAGCGCGCGCGTCGGAATCTGTCCCGCTCTCTCGCGAGCACGCTGCTGGCCACAGCCCGCTCTGCCTTTGCCCGTGCGGCCTCTCGGGTGCACGGCATCTGTGCCTGTGGGCGTCCGTGTCTGTCTGCCTGGCGAGGTGGCGGCACCGCCGCGACTGTGAAGGCGGGGCGCGCCTCGCTCCCTTCCTGGAGGCTTGGACACGGGCCTCCACCTGGATTTGGACGCCCGAGATGGGTACTGAGAGAATAGGTACAATGCCCAACAACAAATGCTGTCCACAACCAACAGCGGCCGCTGTTGGGCAGGCGGCCTTCTGTCTCGAATGGACACAGGCCGCGGCGGCGTGGACAGCGAGTCCTGTTCAAAATGAACAAGAACTGCTGTTGGGCATTGTACCCATCCTTTCCGTGCCCATCTCGTTCGTGCAGACTTGAGAAGACGATCACAGATTCTGGTGTTGGTGGTAATCTTTCGGCCGCCCAGGAAGCCCGAATACTACCACCATCGCCGAGATCGGGATCGCCACCCCTCGGTGGAAGCACACCGCCGGTATTGGCGGTGTCAACCTCCAGGCCCGCGACATTACCAAAACAGACGCTGCAGACGGGGGGGGGCCGGACGGGGGCAGCCGCACGCAACAGAAGCGCGAGTTCGCGCACGCACGCGGAAATCGTCAGGGTGGGGGCCATGCAAATGCAGGAGCGCGCGGGGCACCACCGGCACACTTATGTTTTTGCTTGCCTCAGACGAGCACTTCTTACAAAATGTCACGGACACCACGAATGATCGCCAGCCGCACAGACGGTGTGCCAGCCAGAACAAGTGCCACCACGGTCGACTCTTGGCTTGCAGAGGCACGAAGAGGTTGCGAGGCGAACTGATGAACGCCAAACCGGCACACTCATGTCTTTGAAGCCAACAGCGCAGAGGGTCTCTCGAGCGCGAGCAGCACATGGAAATGCGAATCGCAATCGATCGTTGTCGAAGGCGCAGCGCGCAAAGCGTACGACCGGCACACACACACGCACAATTAGAATCATTAGCACAATAACGGACGCATCCAGAGCAGAAGCCTCCTAGATGTTGTCGGAGCAGTTGGGCTGGGAGGATCGCGCCGCATCGCCGATACATCGACGATGCATCGGCGATGTATCGGTGATGCACCGGCGATGCATCGTCGACGTCGGCGATGCATCGGCGACGTCGACGTGAGGCAAATCGGGCCCCACATCGAGCCGCATCGGCGATGCGGCGCGATCGTCCGACCCCATGGCAGAGGTCAGCGCCATCTTTTTTTGTCGGCGCTGGACCCCCCAACCCACAACCCCGCGCGCCGCCCTGGGAGGCGGGGAGGGGGCGACGCCTCAGAACCGCACGGGCGCCCTGAAGTTTTACGGCGCCCGGTGGAAAGAATCGGCGGCGAGCGAGGGGGTGGAAGTGAGAAAAGAAGACCTTCTCAGAAGGCGGCGGGACTTCTCAGAAGCCCTCGCGCCTTCTGAGAAGGTTTCTGTATCTTCGGAGAAAACTTACTAGAAGGCCGGGGAACTTCCGAGCCCTCTGAGAAGGTCCGCCCCTTTTCACTTCCCCCCTGGGCGCACCGCCAGAAGAACTGCCTCAAGACGAAGCCAGGACTGGAACAAACTCGAATCGAAACAAATCGGAGATCTCTGAAATCTGGAGACTCCAGAGGGTACGCCAGGCTCCCGTGATTTGCGACCGAAGGAACACATCGGGCATCTCTGAGATATGGAGGCTCCGGAGGGTGTATCGGGCGCCGCGGCCGTGGAGGGTGGACGTCTGGCGAAGGATGAGCCGAGGAGGCGAGTGCCCATCCTTGGCCTTCCCAACACACCGACGGTCGCCTCTGGTGGTCCTGCTTGACCGACGCGACCTGCCCGTAGCAGCACGGCACCAGGCAGGCCGCCGCCCCGCGCTTCACGGCGAGCGCCTGGCAGAGCGGGTGGGCGGGAGAGGCGTCCCCGAGGGGGGCGGCACCCGTCTCGCCTCCCAGGTTTGAGTGGGGCCCAGGGGCACACAAAGAAATACAAGTCAGATCCCAAACCCTTTGCGACAGGACCTAAGTTCGGAGAGAGAAGCACTAGGGATAGGGGGAATTGTTCTGCAGGCGTATCGAACCAAACCGCCCAGATCTGTGATCCCTGACGCAAAGACGGAGGACTCTGTGAGGCTGCGTCTTCATCGTGGTATCAGTTATCAGGGTTACGGGTTCTCTTTTTCTCAATCGCAAAAGATACATATCCCAGGTTCGTCCCCTTTTTGTTCAGCATGTTCCTACGCGTCGTCTTCCCTTCCTCGTTCCATAGTCCCCAAAAACTTCCAATGTGTGTCTGTGCCTCTGTTACCCTCCGGACTCTCGCCCGCCAAATCCTCCCGCTGCGGAACAAAACACGACGGAAGGTTGATGGCAGGCTTCGACCCGATCCCATACCAGGCCCTGGCGGGCCCCAAAAAAACTCGGGATGAAAAGCTGGTCAAGCAAAACTCGGCGGCGAGCGGGGGGGGGTGAAGTGAGGAGGAGAAGGCCCTATCAGAAGGCGGCGAAGTTTCTCAGAAGCCCTCCAGCCCCCTTGAGGGATATGCTCTGTGCCCAGAGAAAACTTAGAGCGCTTCTCAGAATGACGCGGGGCTGCCGATCCTTCTGAAAGAAATCCGCCCCTCTCCCTTCCTCCCCTGGCGGGCCGCCGGGAAACGGGTGCAGACGTCTGGGGGTGCACGGTGAGAACAAATACGACGCCCGAGCTCTGGAATGCGCAAAGGGGGGGCGCATGTACACCACAACCATGCCCGGCGATGGCCAGCCGGGGCCCACAGAGGACGCAAACGCTCTCCTGGCCGGGCCAGGAGATCTACGCGCTGCACTGGGGCCTAATGTGGCCCTGGCCATACATGCTGGTAACGCAACGTGGCGCCTTGCGTGGATATCTGGCCTCCCGCGCCTCGGAGAAAGGAACAATCGTGGACCACCCTGCGAGACCACGGCCTCCGATTTCGCCCACATGTCCGCATCCGTGGCCTCGCGGGCCGGCCCCTGGGCCGCGACACCGCGGACACATGGCGTTGCTCCCGGATGCCCCGCGCGGAATGCATACGTGGGACGTCAAGACAAACGAAATCCCGGCGGATCAAAGCCATACGGAGACCGAGCACTCCGTGCGCACTTAGTCCGTACGTAGAAAAAGAAAAAACGTCCTAAACACAAAAATGTGGAAGTCCGCGCGGAATTCTCGGATCTACTAGGCACCCCTGCCTGCCGCGCGGAGCGCGCCAGGGGCGCGCCAAGGGCGGAGCCTGAGGCGCCGCCAGGGGGGGCCCAGCGCGGATCCAAGAGATCCGCGCGGAACGCCAAAAGATTATGCTTGTGCAACTGTTCTCATTCGAAAATGGTTTTCACCTCCGTCGAAGCCGCACATCCGCAGCCGCGCGCCTCGGAATCCGGATGCCGGCCGCTCGTTCCGGGACGCACTGCCCCAAGTCAGTCCAAACCCGGGTCAACCGGGCTTTGCAAGAACCAGATCCTGCAGGAGCCTGCACCCAAACCCAGACCACTGCGACCTTGACCCTGCAGGATCCTGCAGAATCCGGCGCTCTGGTCGCGCCTCGGAAGCATCTGTGGCATCATGGGAGCCTCCTTTCCGCCTTGTCGGCTTTTGCGAATCGACGCTGAATCGATGCTAAATCGACGCAAATCGACGCTGAATCGGCGGTATTTCATCGTTCCCAGACGCTAATCGAAGCCAGCCGACGCTGAAAATGGAATTCGAATGGTATGCCGGACTTCCGCGGTTTGCCACCGAAGGAATCCACGTGTTCGCCGCTCACGGCACCACCGTTTCCACCCGCCTCTTCGGCCTCCCGAAGCCTCCCGTCACGCTGTTTTGGATTAGCTGCAGACTGTCGGCCGATTTCCTCCGCGCGCACGGGCGCGTTCCGCGGGGCCCAGTGACACACAAGTAGATGCACACGCGCACACACAGACACACAAATCCCAGGACCCCCCATATTTTCACATGGTTGTTGGGTTTTCGTTGTCCCCCCCATGCGTCCCACATTTCCCCATATAACCCATACATATATATATATATATATGGGAATCGATGATTCATTGTGTATGTTAATCGACGGTTCATTGTGTATGTTTCTTCTTCCCTATCAACACATACCCTCGATTGCTCCACGACGAACCGCGGCGGCACCCGACAACGTGGAAAAATGAAGATCGCAGCGCAAGGTTTCGATAACACAATGACAGGGCAAACAAAAACATCGCACATAGACAAATCGAAGGCCTATGAGAACCAGCGGCACTGGAGGATGCACCGGGCGCCGCGGCCTTCCCGGAACGTTGCACAACGCTCTGCAAGCGATCAGGAAAACCCTGGAACGATGGTATCCCTTTCCTAGCCCCGCCCCGTTCGACCAGGCCTCCCAACCCCATCTCTGAGTGGCTTCCTTGGGCCCGATCGAGCTTCGCCTACTCCGGAGTGGCCCCAGGCAACAGTCTAGGTCGCCTAACGTGGCGCATCGCGCTGCGAGAAATACGGAGCGCGATGTTTTTCCCGCCATTGCGCTGCCCCTGGAGAAGAGCACCTATCCAGCCCAGGCCGCGAAGCGCGAAGCGCGGTCATCGTCGCGCCGCCCCAGTGGGTGATTTCGAAGAGTGACCTTCGGCGGCGGGACAGGAAAAGGCGTGCGCTGCGCGGGTTGACGCAGGCCTTCTCGCATTCTCTCACGCGCATTCTCGCGTCCTTGCAGTCTCGCACAGCACCACGTTCCCGCATTCTCACACCCTCACGTTCTTACATTCTCGCACTCGCACGTTCTCACCGCGGGGGGGGGGGGGGGGGGGGACTCCACGCGGGCAAGCCAGTTCCGAGGCGGCCCACGAGGGCCCGCAGGAGAGGTCCTCCTCCTATTCCTCCTCCTCCTCCTCCTTCTTCCCCTCCTTCTCCTCCTTCTCCCAGAGACGGGTCACTCCTACACGTGGCCGGGATACGCTTGCAGAGGTCCTGAGGCCCCAGACAGGGGTGGGGGGAACCGACGTGGCTTCTGTATTCCACCACGCCTAAATTACTCACTGCGTGGAGCTCCCCATAGGTGCATCCTTTTTAAACGGTAAAAATGTGTTTTGGGGTATTTAAATGAGCGTCTAGTCATATGAGCCATATGTGCATCTCATATTGTAGGGTAGTGCTATCATCGGAAAGATTGGAAAACACCACGGAGAGAGAAAGCAACATCCCACGGTGACACAAGCTCTTCGCCAGCAACACCTGGTCACTCCTCCTTGACCGCCGTACGCAACGGGGGGAACCACTCGGGACACAACGCAAAACGCAGAAAGCAGGCAAACCGCTAGAGACATCCCCACAGAACGGCCGCGAACGTAGTCATGAAAGCACCCTTGGCGGCTCCCCTTAGGTAGCTGGAACCAGCGCCCCGCCTGAGACATCCTCACAATCTGCTCTCCAAGCGAAGGATGTTGAGACAGAAAGCAGGCAGACTGCCTGAGACATCCCAACCAAACGGCCGCAAACGGGCCCGTGTCATACCCCTCGGCGGCTCCCCTTAGGGGTGCTGGAACCAGCGCCCCGCCTGAGACATCCTCACAATCTGCTCTCCAAGCGAAGGATGCTGGGACAGAAAACAGGCAAACCGCTTAAGACATCCTAACAACATGGCCGCGAACGGGACCGTGTCATACCCCTCGGCGGCTCCCCTTTGGTGTGCTGAAACCAGCGCCCCGCCTGAGACAACCTCACAATCTGCTGTGCGTTGAGTAAGTCAGACAATGAGAAGGTCTGAGCATGAGTAAATCTGGGTATGAGTGAGTCTCAGCATGAGTAGGTCTGAGTATGAGTAGGTATGATAATGAGTAAGTTAAGATGACCAGGTCTGAGTATGAGTAAGTATGTGTATGAGTAAGCCAGTGTAAATGTAAGTCTAAGTATGAGGAAGAGGAGGAGGAGAAAAAGAGGATGGAGTAGGAGGCGCCCAAGTAATAACAAGAACCCCATGGTAGCATATGGGGAAAGCCAGCCCTACAATGGACCCGAGATTCCACTCCGCGCGCCCCACAGGCCTCGACCCCTTCCCCGGGGCGTTCCACCACGCCCAAGCACCCAAGCACCAGCCCTACGGTGGGCCCGAAATCCGCGGGCCCCACAGGTCTCGACCCCCACCCCAAGGGGCGGCCCCCGTCCCGGATCGGTCTGATGGCCCTGGGTCCCGAAGCGGCCCGCCGCAACGGACTTCTGGGAAACACCACGCCAGGGTTGAAGTGAGCAGCCGTCGGTCGGGAGAAGTGGGCACAGAAGCGTGGTGCAGGAAGGAGCTGAAAGCGCATTGAGCGTCCGCCCGCCCCGCGAAGAGGAGGGAAGAGGAAGCACCACTCGATCCTCTTGTGGATTGGGACCTGGGCATCCAGGCATAACTACTTCAAATTACCAGCGAGGAAGGAAATGAACGTAGATTGGGCCTCCGCCCGCCCCCTGAAGAGGAGAGGAGAGGGAGCACCACTTGACTCTTGTAGATTGGGACTCGGGCATCCAGAAACACCCACTTGGAATGACCGACTGGTAGTCATCACATTCGAAATCTGAAATAAGGACAGGCAGTAAGGATGCACGGGCCTTGAACGCCGAAGGTGCCACTTTTGGGCGGCGAGTTGTCAACACCCGCAGGGGCTGAAGCAAGGACGCAAGAGTACCCTAAGCCCTAAGGACATCCGTGCATCCTTACTATGACTCTTGACTGTACGCCAGAGGCTTCGGCACTCTAGCCACAACGCCAGGCACCGGGCGCTCGAGCAGGACGATGCAGACAGTGGCAGTGCGCACAAAGGGGGGTGGCGCGAGGGGGGCGGCACACTGAAAAGGCGGGCAACATCCATATCCAGATCCAGTGTGTCCTGGACGCTCGTGGAAGGAGTTTTTTTTTGATGGACGGCTCCAAGGAAAAGTCCAAGAAGCGGGGCGACCGCGGCTGGGGCACAGGACGAGATAATTGGTTACGACGGCGCACCGTCGTGGAAGGAGCGCCGCAACGTGGAGAAATATGACAAACATAGGGGCATATTGATATCCAAACCCAGTGCGCCTCGGGTTTCTGGGGAAGTGAGGCCGACACTCCAAACTGCAGTGGATCGGAGGTGAGGGGGTGAGATCGAAGTGGAACGGAGAGCCCCCCTACCGGGAAATCGATTTCGGTTTCGTGTTCGTGCGTGCCGTGCGTGCGGGCGAGGCGAAGCTGCGTGGGCGTGCGAGAGGAAAACGTCCCTCTGTGGCTGAGGCGCGGCCGGACCAAATGTCTCCCTTCCGGGCGGCCGGGGCCCCGCGGTGTCCCGCCAGTGTCCCGCTGGTGTCCCGTGTGGCTGAGGCGCGGCCGGACCAAATGTCTCCCTTCCGGGCGGCCGGGGGCCCGCGGTGTCCCGCCGGTGTCCCGCCGGTGTCCCGCTGGTGTCCCGTAAGGCTGAGGCGCGGCCGGACCAAATGTCTCCCTTCCTGGCGGCCGGGGCCCCGCGGTGTCCCGCCGGTGTCCCGTCGGTGTTCCGTCGGTGTCCCGAAAATGATGTTGTTGATGATGATCATGATGGTTATGTTGATGGTGATGATGACGATGATGGTGTCCTGGTGACGATGATGATGATGATGATGATGATGATGATGATGATGATGTTAATGATGATGATGATGAGATGGCGATGATGATGATGATGATAATGTTTCTGCCCGTTGTTGTTGATGATGATGTTGGTAATGATGATGCTGCTGATGATGATTATGGTATCCCGATGATGATGATGATGATGATGATGATGCTGATGATGCTGATGATTATGACGGTGGTGATGATAATGGTGATGGTGATGTTGTGCCGGTGATGATATTGATGATGATGTTGGTGATGATGATGTTGCTGATGATGATGGTGTCCCGATGATGTTGATGATGCTGTTGATGATGTTGATAATGATAATGAGCTGATGATGATGATGATGGTGTCCCGATGCTGTTGATGATGGTGACGATGAGATGGTGACCATGATGGTGTCCCGATGATGATGATTCTGATGTTGATGGTGATGATGACGATGGCTGTGTCCCGATGATGATGATGATGATGATGATGATGACTATGATGAGATGATGATGGCGCTGATGATGATGGCATGATGATGATGATGATGATGATGATGATGATGATGATGATGATGATGATGATGATGATGGCGTTGATGATGATGGCGATGATGATGATGTGAAGATGACAGTGTCCCGATGACGATGGAGATGGTGGTGTTGTTGCTGATAATGATGATGACGTTGAATGTTATATCGATTGTGATATCGGTAGTGAGATCGATAGTGAGACCGAATGTGGGATCGATTGTGAGATCGATAATCAGATCAATTGTGAGACCGAGCGAATGAGATATATCGAGTGAGATCGATTGTGAGATCGATCGAATGAAATCGATCGAGCGAGACCGATAGCGAGATGGATAGTGAGACCGATCGAGTGAGACGCTGCATCCTCCCCCCCCGAACCTCCTTATCACCCGAAGGGTGGTCGTATAGGTATGGACAACATGTTGCCCGTATATGAAGGACAAGGGCTTCCAAGAACGCACGGTCCATCTCGGCGGCGAGCGAGGGGGGGAAAGAGAAGGGGCGGGCCTTCTCAGAAGACTCGGAAGTTCCCCGGCCTTCTGAGAAGTTTCCTGAGCCTTCTGAAAAGGCCTTCTCCTTCTCACTTAACCCCCTCGCCCGCCGCGGACCTTCTTAGAACCTCCCGGAGGCCTTCGAGAAGCCCGCCCGCCTTCTCGGAAGGCCGCACTCCTCACGAACCACCCCCGCGGTGCGCGCAGCCGGGGCTGTCCCAAGAAAATGCCCACGACGCGGCGCAGCCAGCGGCTGCCGTTGGAAGACACCCCTGGACCCGCAAGCCTGCAGAAGCTTCTCAGGGCGTCCGTGGTGCAGTCAATCCGTATTTTAAGGATGCGCGATAAGGATGCAAGGGCCTTGGACGTACATGTCGAAGCTTTTCGAACGAGCCTGGCCAGCGGAAGGGCGGAAGTCGCTAAGGGACGAAGATACAAGGGTAGCCTTAGGAAGGTTGCTCATCCTTGCTGTGCGGGCTGACTGTACAGAAGCTTCTGAACGCCTCCGTCGTAGCAGCCGTCGCCGTCGCCGTCGTTGGCGACCCATGAGACTCCCCTGCAGCGCGATCCGACCAGGATGCGGAGGACGAGGGCCCACACCCCCATGGAAAGCAATGCTCACGTGGCGGTTGTGTCGCACCCTTTCCTCCCGAGAGGCGGCGGGCCAGCACGGCGTCGGCCAGCAGGCCGCAAGTGTGCAAGCCCACGGCCAGGTCGAACGGGGCCCCGCTGGCGGCGAACGCGTCCACCGTGCCTGCCCCGGGCGGCCGATCGTGCGATGTGGCGGTGGGCATTCGGCCGCCGCTTGCCGCCTGCCGCCCTCGCCCGCCACCGCCGCGGTTGCCGCCTGCCGCGGCCGCCGCACCGTTGCCGCCGCCCGAATGCGGGTCTTGCCGCCGCTCGGACGTCCGTTCCCCGAAATCCCTGCGTGTTTCGGTCTCGCGCGTTCTCTCCGCTGCACGTGGATCCAAAATGTTCCTTGATGGTCTTCGCCTGTGAAAACAACGCACACGTCCGATCGATGCCCACGGGTGGGGAGGAAGGGGGGGGACGTCGATGGGGGCGATCGCACCCCCCGCGCATGCCAGCCGGCCGCCCTCGTGCCACCCCAGGAGGCGGTCGGAGGGGACAAGGGTCCACCGTGCCCGAGCCGAGGGCGGCTTCGGGGGTCTGGCGCGGCGCACGTGACGAGGCTCGAGGATCGAAGCACTGAGCCACGGCTAGATTTCCCGCGGGATTCTTGCCAGAGCAACGCCCCTGGACTGGGGACATCAACATACAAACGCGGAGCTCCGCGCGGATTCTTCGGATCGGCGCGCCGGGGAGGGGGGTCGAGCGTCGATCCGAGAATCCGCGTGGACCTCCGTGTTTTTTCGGGACCAAACGTTCGCTGCTGTTTTTCCGGGGGACCTTCCTGGAACCACTCGCTCCACGAGTGATTCCGCGCAGCGTCGAACGTCCGTCGATTCGACTCGACCTGGGGTCGACCAAGAGGCTCCACGGGGACCCCAATAGCTCCCAGAGGCCTCCGATCAAACGCTCCCAAGGCGGTTGTGACACTGCACCCCTCTGCGCTTCCCTGGTCAAGGCAACTCGCCTGGCGATGTGTCTGAATGGGTTGGCGGGGGCACTTTCTTCTTGGTACGCGGGCGCGCGAACCGAACCGAACGCCGCGCAAGCAGGGGCAGGCCGCGCCGCAAACGAAGGGGAAAACAAAACGGTGAGCAACGCCACGCGCAAAGCGGGACGGAGCCCAGCGCAGCCAAAATGGCGCGGACGGCATCACGAAGCGGCACCGGGAACGCGCCCATGTAGGTGTCGAACTGGATGCGGACGCAGTACAAGAGCGACCCCATTTGCGACCAGAGAAAAAACGCCACTGTTACCCAGGACGGCGGTGGCAGGAAGGAAAAGGGCGAAAAGTGAAAACGATTCCCCAGGTACCCTGCCGAACACGAAGCACAGGACCCAGTGGGACTCCACGACGTAGAACAGCGAACGGACCAGCAGGAGTACGATAAACACCAAAGAAGACAGGAACGGCGGGTGATTAGCAAACGTGGGAAAAAAGACCCCAGGCACCGTGTAGAACGCGCAGGTGAACGCCGACACGCAGGAGACAAACACCGCGAGGAAAGAACGGAGGACGGACGGGCTGCGGCCGCTCCAGGACCTCCTCCGAAGATTCCGAGTGCGAGGAGGAAGCGGGCTAGGCCGGGTTGCGGCCGCCCCGCGCCCTCCAGTGCTGGTGGAGATACGCGAAGTGTCAAGCAGTGGCGGCACGATGCCCAACTGATGCTGTCCAAAACAGACACCGGCCGCGCTGTTGGGCAGGCAGCCTTCCGTCTGAGGGGGACAACGTCCGCGGCAACACCGACAGCGGGCCCTGACCAAAATGGGCAAGAAAAACTGTCGGTCGTTGTACCCATTCCTTCCGTACCAAGGTTGGCGGCACGCACAAGGGGGTAGGGGGAGGGGGAAGGCTTCTCAGAAGGAGGCTACTTCGCAGAAGGCGCCAGCCTTACATCCACATCCAAGGCTCCACAGGGTGCTTCTGAGAAGAGTTCCCCCCTCCCTTACCCCCTTCTGCGCGTGGCCGAGTGAAGGTGGGGTTAGAATCAAACGCTAACTCACAAGGAGAGTCACATAGCGACGAGGGGGTCCGACGAGGGCCCTGAACCGAACCGAGGCGAGGACCTCAGAGCAGACACTAGCGGCTAGGTAGGGTAAGGGCCGAAACAAGGTTAGATAGAAATCACTCTGAACGGCTCCCGGAAGAATGAAAGGTGAGCCTCCAGCTGGGTATGTTCCCTGACCCCGCCTCTGGAAGACCCCCCCTCTACGAACCCCCGATTGTGGCCTCGGACGCGCCGCGCGACCGCCGGCGCTGCGACAACAAAAGGTATGCTGCTTCGAAGAATCCCCCATTGAACGCTGTATTATGCTATGCTGTGTTATGTTATGTGTTATCCGGTCTGTCTTAACATGCGCTGTCATGCTGTGTTATGCTATGCTAAGCTGTCATGTTATGTGGTGATGTGACATGCTGTGGTATGGTATGTCTCGTCATGCGTTTATGTGTTATGGTGTGATTGATTATCCATGGTATGTAATGATATTTGCTGTGATGCTGTGCTATGGTATGCGCTGCTCTGTCATGGTGTGTCATGCTACGAGATGGTATGTCATGATCTGGTATGCTATGCTTGAATATGTTATGTTCGGTGGTGTGGTGTGTTGCTCTGTTCTGTGGGGGACCTGGGGATCTGGCGGCCGCGGTATGCAGTGTGGGCGAGTCGCCCTGGGGGGCGGGACCCTCAGGGATTATCGGGAACCTGAGGAACTGGCGGCCGCAGTATGCATAGTGCGCGAGTCGGCGCGGGGGGTGGGACCACCAGGGATTATCGGGAGCCTGGGGATCTGGCGGCCGCGGCATGTAGGGCGGTGGGGGGGCGGGACCACCAGGGATTATTGGGACCCTGGGGATCTGGCGGCCGCGGTATGCAGGGCGGGCGAGCTGGGATGTCTGTCCTTAAATCTAACGACCCGAACCTGTCGGGTGGGGGGAAACTAAACACTTCGCCTGGAGACTCGGTTCAGCGGACGACACGCACTGGGTCCGGCCAGAATCCGATTGAGATGAGTCCCACAACACCCCTCCTTTGGGTCAGTCCCGCCCGGCCAGCTTTGCACCCAGGCTTGACGTGTGCGACCAGCATCGGGCTCAACCCTACATTTGAGAGAGCGTGATCCACCGCCGCTCTACTGTGGAAAACTCCCCCCCCTCTTTCTCCGGAACCTGGGAGCCGCCCCCTCCCCATCCGAAAATCCTCTCCCCGCTCGAAACCCCCCCACCACCACTCCCATGCCCTTGCCCCGGCAACACCCCCCCCCCTCCTAACCCCTCCCCGCCCCACAGCTCTCCGGAAAACCGGGGGGGTCACTACCAGCTCGACCCCCCCCACCCCTCCCCCCCTCCAGAAAGTCGGAGGGGGTCACTACCGGTTCGAAGCCCCCATCCCCCCACTCACCGCCGGCAAACGACTCCCGGGTACCCACCACCGTCCTCACCACCGCCTTCGCCGCTGTCCCCAGCACTGTCCCGCCACCGTCCTCCCCACCAGTGCCCCCACCTCTGTCGCACTGTCCCCACTGTCCCCACCACTGTTCCCACCACATTCCCACTCTCCCCACCACTGTCACCACCACCGTCCCCACCACTGTCCCACTGTCCCCACACCACTGTCCCCACCACCAACGTCCCCACCACTGTCCCACTGTCCACAGTTCCCGCCATTGTCCCCACTGACCCCACCACCACCGTCCCCACCAATGTCCCACTGTCCCCACCACGGTCCCAATGTCCCCACTCTCCCCGCCGCTGTCCCACTGAGCTGTCCCCTCTGTCCACACCACTTTCCCCTCTGTCCACACCACTGTCCTCACTGGACCCCTGTCCCATTGTCCCACCACCGTCCTCATCACCGCCCTCACCACTGTCCCCACCACCAGCGTCCCCACCACTGTCCCACTGCCCCGAGTGTCCCCACCACTGTCCCACTGTCCCCACACCGCTGTCCCCACCACCACCGTCCCCACCAATGTCCCACTGTCCCCACCACTGTTCCACTGTCCCCACTTTTCCCACCATTGTACCCACTGTCCCCACCAGTGCGCCCCCACCAGTATCTCACTGTCCCCACTGTCCCCAGCACGGTCCTACTCTCCCCATTGTCCCCAGTCCCCACCACTGTCCCACTGTCCCCACCACTGTCGTCCCACTGTGCTGTCCCACTGTCCCCACTCTCCCCTGCCACTGTCCCACAGTCCGCACCGTTCCCACCACTCTCCACACTGTACTTACCACTGTCCCATTGTCCCACCACCGTCCTCACCACCACCCTCACCACTGCCCCCACCTCTGTCGCACTGTCCCCACTGTCCCCACCACTGTTCCCACCACATTCCCACTCTCCCCACCACTGTCACCACCACCGTCCCCACCACTGTCCCACTGTCCGCACCACTGTCCCACTGTCCCCTCACCACTGCCCCACCAGTGCCCCCACCACCGTCCCACTGTCCCGAGGAGCGTGAATCGTTTGCCGGCGGAGGGGGGGTTCGAACCGTGATTGACCCCCCTCCTTTTCATGATGGACTGGGGGGGGAGGGGGGAGGGTTCGAACCGGTAGTGACCCCCCTCTGGTTTTCGAGGGGGGGCGGGTTGGGAACCCCCAGTGCCCCCCCAAGTGTTCCGCCAGCAGCAGGATCGGCACCGAGACACGGTGACGCCAATCAAAGAGAAAGTGATGCTGCAGGCTGGCAACTTGAGCCCGAAATGGGCGCCCAGACAGACACAATAAACTGTGAATACCCTGCGAACGCCATCCGGAGAGGAAAGAGAACCCATCACCCATCGCCCCTCTCCACTCCGCCGAGAACCGCACAGCTGTCGAGCCCTGCCCCTCCTCGATGCTCCCCCTTTCTCCTCATTCCTTCCTTCCTTCCTTCCTTCCTGGCCCCCTCCCTCCCTCGCTCCCTCCCTACCTTCTCCTCCTCCGCCTACATGTGCTCGAGGGCGGATATGGGTCCCTGTGGGGCCGAAGGTGCTACTGGGAAGCCCCCGAGGGCCACACCCGAGCGTGGAGCACCGCGCAGGCCTCGAGCCACCCTCCTCCTCCTCCTCCTCCTCCTCCTCCTCCTCCTCTTCCTCCTCCTCCGTCCGTCCCTGCTTCCTTCCTCACCTCATACTAG